TGTTTAATGCTATCTGCCAACTACTAGCAGCTGAAATCCTGACGCATCCACCACCGTCTCAATGGTGGTTCCAGACTTGGATTAAGACTCAACATGAGACTTTCCACACCATTAAAACACAGCCAATTGAAGCAGCACGTGTTGCTTCTCATGATGTATCAGCTATCAAAGAATGGTTTCATGGATTCAAAGATGTGTGTAATCAATTAGATGTTACTGCAGCTAACATCTACAACTTTGATGAAGTTGGGTTCCAAGTGGGAATGAGCACCGGTGAACATGTGTTAGTGCCAACAGCAATAAAGGAGGTACGTTATATGTACTCATCTTACATTATATTATTCTAATTTGTATAGCTTTATATACAAGGTCCAGAGAATCGTCAAAGTCTCACAGTAATAGGGACAATTTCAGCTGCTGGCATTGTACTTCCACCATTCCTAATAATTCAAGGAAAGCTTCATATGGAAAGTTGGTACCATGATAATCTACATGGTCATGAGAGAGTTGCAGTATCAGATTCAGGATATACAAACTCTGAGCTCGCAATGGAATATCTACAGCATTTTATTCAACATTCTGCACCCTCTACAAAGACGAAGTTGCTTATAATGGACTCTCACATTTCTCATGAAGTTCCAGAATTTATAATACTTGCACATCAAAACAACATACATTTACATGTATTCCCTTCTCACCTTACACATATACTACAACCTCTTGACGTTACAGTATTTGCACTTTATAAGCATTGGCACCGCCGTGCTACTCAACAAGCAATTCAGAATTTTGATGTTGACTATAATGTTATTTCATTCTTCCGAGACTTACCTACAATCCGAACACAAACGTTTACAAAGGAAAACTGTATGAAAGCATTTAGAGACTCTGGTATTTGGCCACCAAACTATGAGAAGATAGAAAAGAAAGTGGCAATATACGCAAAACCAGCACTTTTAGAAACACCAATCTTTCAAATTGGAGTCAAAGATTTGAAGAGATTCTTAGTTCACCATCACGGCAAAAGTGGACATCTTCTTATACAGAGATTCAAGTACAGTTGACAGAAAGTACTTTGGTTACCTCAGAGCTTATGCAAATTACTACTATTATGTCTGAGCAAAGACAACGGAAAGTTAGAAGCAGAAAATCTATTCAAAAGGGTGGAGCTGTTACAGTTGAACAAGCACGGAAGAAGATTCATACGAAGATAGTAAAGGAGCAAGAGAGAGAAGAAGCAAGAGAGAGAAGAGAGAGAAAGCGCATGGTTAACCTTGAGTATAAGCTGCAGCTCCGTGCTGGCATTGATGCACGGAGAGCGGAACGGGTACGGAAAAGGGAATTACTTGAATTCCAAAGGAGTAACCCAGACACTGAGCTACCAAGGGAGTTACTCCAAGTAATCATAGACCCTGATATTAAGCGTAGGAGACAGAAGGAAGAGGAGGAGAAGGAGGAGCAGTTGCACTGGCAATTGGCCACTGAAGTAAGCAGTTTTGTTGACTTTGCAGACCTTGACTACGACATGATCCACAGTGCAAGTGACAGTGTAAGTGATAATGAATCACTGCCCGACAATATAGATCCTAACCTATTTAATTAATCAATTATATCTACGTTCATTGCTGTTTGTTGTCCAGATAGTCGCGTTGTCCTGATGTCGCATTGGACGCGTTCGCGTTTGCCGAGAGAGCAAGGATGGCTTTCGCAGCAAGGATCGCTTTCGCCAACCGCCTCCAGGCGGTGGTTTGGAAACCAACAATTATATCCTCAAAAAAAACTTCGCGAGGAACGACGCAACTTTAACAAGTTATTATATCACAATGACATGGCCAAAAATTACAAACGGCACACTAAATGAAAGATCTCCATTGTGGCTTCAATGTAAAATTAATTCTACGTAATTATGGTGAGATTTGGTTGATCCTCACGCTCAATTGTCTCATTTTCTCCTTGACTTTCTTGCTGCTAGGGGCGCAGCGCTATCCGCGGCCCGCAGCTGAAAAACTAGCCAAAACAGGTTACAACGGACCCATTCCGTTGGGAATCTGACCAACCAATGGCCGTTTAAGGGGCCTAAAACGGACGCCAGTCCATTTAGGGTAGTGATAACGAACGGCAGTTAGTGCCGTTGAACGGGATAACGAGAAAACTATCGACCACACTGACGCCAAGTACATAGCTAAGCCTGCTCTATAGAACTACCCTCCCTATGTGTATTTTCTCTCCTAGCATCAACTATACCCTTTTCTAGCCGTATTGCATTAGCTTTAGGTGCTAAAAGTGAACCTCTAAGCTATAGGCAGCTCTTTTTAGCCCTCTGGCATTTGCTTAGTAGCTCATTTTCTATACAAAGCTCCTAGTTCTTAGCTTTAAGAAGGACAGTCTGTGTGCTAGCATTAAGATACCTTTAGCCTAGGTGTCATACTGACATTCGTTGCACTCAGTTTGCTATCAAACTCAAGAGCAAACTTAGAAATCTCCTCCAGAAACCTACAAGTCACTATACATATTTTGGCTTGTCACACCAACAACAAGAGCAATACTACTCAATGATTGCTACAACCCTCTATGATTCATTACACGTCATTGCTCCTTAGTTACTGGGCCGATATGACCACATAGCATATCTCTACAACCCTCTATGATTCATTACATGACATCACTCCTTAGTTACTGGGCTAATACTACACATGACATATCTCTATCAACTAGAGGCCTAGGAACATGAACGATAGCTCCAAAAGCTTCTACAACCCTCTATGATTCATTACACGTCATCGCTCCTTAGTTACCCACAAGATTGGTTAAGTTATGACATAATTTGTCTATAGGGGTACTCTGACCTTGGACCTCCTTTCACTTCCTATAGGCTAGGAACCTAGGAGATGGTTCTATGGGATTCTCTTACGTCGACTACAGTTACCAAGCCTGGTTAGTCATGTAAAGTCTTGGAAAATGAGAGAACTACACTCCTTTAGCATAAATAGGATTGCCCTTTCCTTAAGAAAGGGCAAGCAGACAATACAGTAAATCGACTATCACATACTTCCACGTCTTTTCCAAGCTTCCAAGCATTGATCTTGTTATTCCTTGTTTCTGAAAAGTCAGTGAGGTGCTAACCTCTGACTTATCCCTGAGTTCTCAGACTCAACATTTGTTACAACTTGTCTAAACCACTCCACTACATCATACACCTGATTGCTGCATTGTGGAATAGTCTAAGCTACGACCCTTTGGCTCTTTTTCCTAAGACAGTGTGTTGTCTTAGTAAAATCATCCCTTCCTTGGGTGGCTAGATTCTCAGATCTGGTGCACCCACCATTACACTAGGCGTCGACTACGTTATATAAATGGGTTAGAGAGCTACCCTAATGCCTAGCAATCCTAGATTTCAAGGAGTAGAGCTTTGTACAGCCTTAATTGCTATAGTTGGCATTTTTAGACCCTAGAAGGTAGCAGTTCCTAGCTGAGAGTTTGACGGTGTAGGCATTCTAGGCTTAAAATCCAGCTAAGAAATTACTGTTTTAGGGTCGTATAGAACAAGGCCAGTTGCTCGGAAAGCTAGCTCGTACATTCTCTTCTCCTATTGAAGCAAAAAAGGCCTGCTAGAAGGCAGGAAAGAAGTTGTCTTTAGTAATGTGAGTTATATGCCTCTACATCATCTGCTTAATTGCCTTGCTATACAAAGTTTTTAAAGGGCTAAAACAGCCTACATCGAGAGGCTAGAGGATATGCGATGAATAGGGAGGCATACAAAGCAGTATAATATTGTTAAGCTTGTAGAAATCATTGAATTCAGTAGCCTAGTGGCTGTTGTAGCCGTCAAGGATTAGAAGTCTATATCTACTAGTTGTACAAGGCTTAGTACATCCCTCAAAGTGATTCAACTAATCTAGGCCTATCGCGTTTGTATCTAGCCATTTTCGCTTAGATGGATCTGCTAGGTTGGTGGGAATTGGCCATTAGTACGGAGTATACTAGGAGAGGAGGTGATATTTGCCCTTAACAATGATATATGGCGGCATTGCCTAGCCATCTACACATACACCCTAGATTACAGAAACCCATTCCCGATTGCTAGGCTGCTTTGTACGAGGTCTGTCCCATCGGTTACAACCTTAGTATGCGAGAGCATTCCCATCAAAAACCCAGTTTCATCAAAGTTGTAGATGTCTGAGTTGACAATGCCGTATTTTGCAATTGTATTCTGTACAAGTGCAAACCAAGCTTGTATAATCTTAGGATCTTCAGCTAGGGCCCTCTGGTAGTCAATTCGACATCGAAAATGCATATTAAGGGCTGGTTGGCGTCGTACGAAGTTCCCTGCCTATCGTGAGCTAACACAAGTTCCGTCGCGTATCCTAAGGAGGCGATTGGCCATATCTTGTATATCTTCGAGCGGGGGCGGAAATCCCGCTCAATTAGATCAATAATACGATCAAGAAGCATACTCTCTTTAGTATTAGTCAACTTCCTCCCATTTGCAGTTATATTGCGTCTTGATAGTTTTCTAGCGCGTCAGTCAGCCAAAGTCGCCTGGGGAACCTTATAGATACCTGCTGCAGCTCGTTCGGTAAGTTTAGGGTCGTTTTTAAGAGCTTCAATTACTAGGATTATACGGCTTTTGTTTGAAGTAGATTCCATTTTTGTACGTAGAGGGAAATAGTTGCAAAGTAAAAGGTGGTGGAAATGGTGGAAAGTGGCCGACTCGCTTGGGTGGCCGACTCGTTATACATGTACGTTAATCATGATTATAATTGATCTTCTAACCCTCGTCTTGTAGGTGCGTACTCCTTCCTCCCGCAAACATAGAGTCTGCATGTCACCTTTCAGTCGCTCCTTCCTCCTTCCCTCCAGAAGGCACAAAACCACCATGCTATATAACGCCCCTCCAATGTCCCCCTCATCGCAGCAACAAACGTGAGTCTCCATCTACTACAAACACTACTACCAAACGTCTACACAAAAACCTCTTCCCCAAAGCCCCTCCAACAACCATGTCCGACGACGACATCTACGTCGCCCTTCACCAAATGTGCGAGTTGATGGGTGAGCTCCGGGGCGCAGCGGGCGCAGCGCTCGATATATGCGGAAAATATCTCACCGCGCGCGACGATTTACGAGCGGGCCAGGCAAAGATCGATATTCTGCAGCAATTGAACGGGAGGGCATTGGACTATGATAAACTTGATCCCCGGGCGCTCGAGCGGATGATGGAGGGTATGGTTAAGACGAGTCAGAAGCTGGGGAATGTTATTGCGGGTGTGCAGATTAGCTTGGAGAGGTTGGTAGATGCCGCCAAGGGGTATAAGAAGGCGGGGAGTGAGAAGATGTGGAATGCGTGGTTGATATACCAGAGGCTATTGCCGTTGGCTGATGGGTTGTCGGAGGAGTATGATGTGATGGGGGAGTTGTGAAGGTTGCGGGGAAGGAGGATCAGGAGGGCATCTTGCGTGACTTGAACGGAGGGGTGAAGATGGGGAGGGAGGTGGTGGCGAAGTTGCTGAAGATGATGGAGTTGTGGAGTTGGTCGAGTGAGTGGGTGATTGAGCTGACGGTATTGAGGGAGGCGGTGGTGAGTGTGAGGGAGGAGGTGGCCGATGAGAAGATGACTATGACTATGGCGCTGAATACTGTGAATCCGACGAGGAGGGGGGAGATGAGGCGTCAGAGGAGGTGGACCTGCAGGACTGTGGAGGTGCGAGTTTGGGTTCGACACTTTGGGTTGGTTGGCTGTGATGGGCTCCTATTCCTCGATTGTCTCGCAAGACACAAGGGCACAACGACGAAACAAAAATAGACATTGATACTCTTCTTCAATGCCATCTCTTACACCTTTATCCCCCTTTTAAAATCGTCGTCAAAGGAAACAGACATCCCCATCCGGCGCCCCCGTCCCTCCCAACAAAGGTTCAAACCCATTAAAGCCACACCGTTCGAGTCCGAAAACAGCCCTCGAACTCTTCTGTAAAGAATCTCTTGTCCCTCGCCGACTCACCCTTTCGTCCCAACTTCCTCTCCTTTCATTGCTCGTGTCGTATCCCCGGCTTTCATACACAATTTGCATTTATTATCCCCAACTTTCATCCGAGTATCAATTGAAATTCTGCATTCCTTCTCCAGTCATATTCCCCATTCCCATATCAGAGTTTGATAATTCCCTGAACGAGTTTGATACTCGGAAAAAGCTCGAAATTATCGTTTTATACACCACACCACACCACACCACACAAGAAAGCACCATACAGCACCACACAGCGCCATACAACACAATACAACAGCAACACCATACAAAATGCCTCCCCGAATCCAACGGCAACGCGACCCCAGAGTAACCCGCATAACCCGCGCCGACGTCCGCGCCAACCCCGCCGTCCAAGCCGCCGTCAACGCCAACGTGCTCGCCTCCCAAGGCCTCGCCAAACCGCCCACAGCCGCAGAAACCGCTGGCATCGAACAAAGTGTTGTGGATGGCCGAAACAATCGTCCACCGCCATCGCGTAAAAAGAAGAGAAATGCGGGTGCGAAGCCAACGGGGATCGAGCCAAAGAAAAAGGAGACGAAGGAGGAGAGGCGTTTAAGGAGGAGGAAGGGGAAGGCGGAGGCTGCTAAGAAAGCTGCTGAGAAGGCTGCTAAGAAGGCTGCTACGAGAGTTGCTGAGGCTGCTGAGGCTGTTGAGGCTGCCAAGGTTCTTGAAGCTGTCGAAGCTGCAAAGGCCCTTGAGGCTATTAAAGCCGCCGGAGCTGAGGCGGCGAAGAATAAGGGTGGCAAACCTGGTAAGGATAAGAATGGGGAGAAAACAAAATCTAAGTCAGGTAAGAGCGGTGGTCCGTCTACGCCGCCTACCAGTGTTGATCCTACTGGCGGCAGCGGTGGTGTAGCTCCAAGATCAGCGGCACCGAGCTCCAAACGCGGCTGAAGAACGTAAAGTGGGGAAAGCTCAGCGAGGAGGTTAAAGTGGAACTGCCTTCGTCAGAGCGGGAGGGACCGTGGAGTAGTGGGAGAAAAAGCATGCGGAGAAAGAGGCTTTGGATAGGCTTACTGAGCAAATTGTATATGTGTCTTCAGAGGAGGAGAGTGGACAGGAAGAGGGTGGAGAGGAAGAGGGTGGAGAGGAAGAGGGTGGAGAGGAAGAGGGTGGAGAGGAAGAGGGTGGAGAAGAAGAGGGTGGAGAATAAGAGGGTGGAGAGGAAGAGGGTGGAAAATAAGAGGGTGGAGAGGAAGAGGGTAGAGAGGAGGGTAGCGAGGATACTGACGAAGAGTATAAAGATGCGGAGGTGGGGCTGAGCCAGAGACCGAGGGCGAAGAGGACGACATCCCCGGAGGGAGTATTTGCCCCGGCTCCAGAAGTGAGTCGGAGAATTGGGACGAACCGGGGACTGAGAGTGAACCAGAGATTGAAGGCGAAGAGGAAGAGGAAGAGGAATATGTCTCCCATGATATTTCCTGTCCCGGTGATACCGATACCGAGAGTGAGGGGTGTGGGGAGGATTCGGGGAGCGAGAATGGTGAGGAGGGTTACTACCCATGGGGTGGTTGCATTTACCCCCCCGGGTTTCTTTAATAACCTCGGGAGACTAACGCTCTCGTCTACCTCAAAAGAGAAGCAGACTTCTAGTACCCACCGGTGTAGCAGGGAAGAAGCGCAAGCCTGAAGACTCGCCCGAAGAAAAGCCTGCGAAGAAGACCAAGCTCGACGGCAATTCTGGCGGCAAAGTGATTATATGCCTCGGGCCAAGAGACCGCACTCCCAAACGCTGGGACATAAGCGAAAAACAGCTGTGCCGCAGGATCCTTCAAAGGCGAAGAAACCCGCCGTGACGAAGCGCAAGCGTGGCGAGTTGCCCGGGCCAATCCTCCCCTCAGGGAAGAAGCGCAAGGGCAGAAGCACAAAGGCGACGACTTGCCCGAGCCAGATCCCTTTAAGAGAACAAAGCGGGGAGATTATCTGCCCGTTGCCAGAATCCCCGCCAAAGAAGAGTAAACGTGACCAGGGCATCATATGCGCGATACCAACAAGCTGGGCTATCAACCGCCGGGAGCGACGCGCGAAGCGCGAAGAAGAACTGAGGGACAAAGCGTAAGAGCGCCGAGTCAGCTGAGAAGAAGTCATCGACGAAGAGTGTAAGTTATGAGGAGCCGAATGGTTCGAAGGAGGGTGGGGGTAAGAAGGTGGGGTGGCTTTGGTGAGGTGTTTGAAAGGTTTGAAGCAAGGGTTGTTTGTTTGGAGTTTTCTGGGGTTTGCTTGTTGATGTATGATAGATAGTGTTTGTTTGTTTGTTTCCATAGATTTGCTTGATGCGCTCGAGTTGGTGTTTTTGGGTGTTGGTTATATTTGTGTATTTATAGTAGCAAGGTCTCACGAGCAGGATCATCGGTATTGTGCGCTTGCCTTCCTTCAAAATTGATCTTGTCATTGTCCAGCCCCTGATATGATTTGAGCATGGAAGACAAGCGGATGAGCCTCTGCTCTCCACACAGGTATTGAACGCCGTCCCATCAAGAAAATACACAGTATAATACACACCCCCACCCCACCTCACCCCCACCTCACCCCCCTTCACCCCTCTCAGATCGTCGCCCCATCCTCAGGTAAGTCCTCAATAACTCTCTCCACCATCTCCATTAACTGCTCCACATCCGGCCTCTCCCCCGGCTCAACCTTCAAGCACGCCCTCACCACCTCGCGAATGCCATCATTGATCCCAGTATCCTCCTCCTGCCCCGCCTGATTCTTCCCCTTCTTCTGGCCACCGGCCCCCTCGTCGGGGAAGCGCCAGTCCCCGCTCAACACGCAGATACTCAGACTACCGCCCGTCTCGTCGGAGCGCATCTCGAATGGTGACTTGCCCACGAGACACGCGTACAGCGTGCAGCCCAGCGACCAGATGTCGACCTTAGTGTCGATTGTCGAGCCGGTCTTGACGTCGAAGAGCTCGGGCGCACGGTATGGCATGGTTGAGTGCTCGGCTGCTTGGTCTTGGATGGCGAGGGCTAGGGAGCGAGATGTGACAGGTGTGGGTGAGGGTTGAAGGGAGCCAAGATCCATGAGGATAGGCTGTGTGCCGTCGTCGTCGATCATGATATTTCCTACTGGGCTTTAGACATTGCCACTTTGCTCACAAATCGACAATGCTTACCTGGCTTAATATCCCGATGTGCGTATGCGCGGGCACCACCGGGCGCAACACCCTCCTGGCTCTGTGTCACCTCATCGTCCATCAATGGCTCATGCTGCTCGCGATCCGACTCTTCGCCCCTGCCTCTCCTCCGCCCCCCTCCCGCCGCCTGAGCCGCATCTTCGTCCGCCTCCGCCGCTTCAGCGAGTAACCTCTTCGCCTTTACCGCGCCCTTCACTCCAACTTTATACTCGTGCATGGCCTTAAGCGCTCTGCACACGCCCAGGAACAGGACCATGAGCTTCTTCTCCGGGAACTTGGCGTGGTTGACCAGGTTGGCATTGATGAGGTCCTGCAGGTTGCCGCGCCGGTAGTAGGGTAGCAGGATGTATACTGTCTTCGCGCTCGGGTCGGAGCGGTCGGCTGAGATGGAGTGGTCGATGGCATGGATGATGTTCTGGTGGGGTGTGAAGAGCCCGTAGGCTTCGACTTCCTTCATTGCTTGCGCGACGGATTCTTGGCCGAAGGGGCAGCGGATCTTTTTTAGGGCGTAGAGCGCCTCATTCGATGTATCTTGGACGAGGTAGACATAGGAGAAGCCGCCCTGTGTTTGCGTTAGCTGTGTCCGAATAGGAGGGAGGGGTTTAGGGAACAGGGGGGCGTACCTCTCCAAGCAGCCGGAGGATCTTGAAGCTCCTGCTGTTGATCTTGAGTGTCGGCGACCCGGGGAAGCATGACATGCAATTTGTGAGGGTATAGATGAGGTCGAGGACGTATTGCGCCATGATGATTGAGCTGCAGAAGCCACGCGTTCAGTACTATGGTATCGAAGCCGACGGCGCTCAAAGAGCAATTGAAAGGCCGCGATGGGTAGTTGTCCCAAGCAAGATGTTACAAAAAGGGTCGCAGATGTGCTGGAAGAGACGTCGATGTTATCTTGGGGCGTGTTCTAATTATAGGTGTCGTAAATCAAAAAGTTTGGTGGGGGATTGGGATGATCTTCAGAAAGTAATCCTCGGCCTCAACCTTGTCGGGCACAGTCGTCAGCGTAACCCGCGATGTTCCCGCCGTGCACGGCCTAGCCCGACTGGGAGTTCTATGGAGATGCAACAGTAGTCCACCAAAGCATGTTTCAGTGAGGTGGTTGAGAGGGCTAAGGGTGAAATATCAATGATTATTATACATTTAGAATATGAATTTACCGTGGTACTTTCCTTCCTAGCTAACCCATGCACCCTCACCCTTGTGAGATGGTGTCAACAGTGTTCGGCGGATATATATCCGGCCACGGGTAGGGTATGTATCCGGCCAATATCTCACAGGTAGAGTAGGTATATATCTGGATATATGAGGCTAAATTCTATGAATAGAGTATATAAAAATGAAGCTTTAGATAATACCAATAAACTATAACCTAACCTAACCCAATACCTATAGCGCTTGATTCGTGTGCCTCATCATCAGCATCATCGCCATCACTATCAGCCTCCTGTATCGGACCCCAATTCCGTAAGCAAAGTAAATCTCTAATCGTAAGTGGTGATAACCTATTCTGCTTCTTTGTAATAATATCACTACCATTACTAAATACCCGTTCTGATGCTATAGATGTTGCTGGAATTGCTAAATGGTCACGAGCAATACGGGCAACAACTACATATTGGTATTGCTTTGCGCACTAGTATTTGGGGATATCTGTATGCTCACTAGGCCGTGGTTCAAGCATCCACCGCCTCCATTCTAGCTCCTGAAATGCTAAGCCTTCTGATGCAAATAGGTCTTCATTCGGAATCAGGTTCTTGCTCTGTTGTATTTATAGCACCCATTGCTTCTGTAAGAGCTGTTTCGCAGTTGTTTCAATTGCTTCACTGGGATGAACCTTCACGAGATATTTCGTAACGGAACGTGTTGAACACATAATTGGAGTTTGACGACTTGATTGAAAAACTACGGGGGGCGAAGCCCCTATATATACACAGTTGGTATACAGGCTACGCATGTGCAGCGTACTACCAGGAATGCAGTTCCAACAGAAAGAGCCGTCGCGCATGGTCACGTGCTTCTATTAGCCCACACTGTTGTAATACGGTCACGTGACCCAACTCAACTTCACCGTAATTTCAGGCAGCTACAATTAGACAGAACAATACACAGATTACTCAACAGTTATGAGCCCGGAGCAACTCCAAGACGCATTTTGAAGCCTATAGAAACCCGTACGGACCTAATACCCCTCCTAGGAGTCGAAAAAAAAAACCCATCATTATGGCGACCCTACAGAAGGCGGGGGTGGTCCTCACAAGCCCTAGAGACTGGGACGAGTGGATAGAGACTATCAAAACTGCTTCAATGAAGGCAGGAGTATGGGGGTATATCGATCCATCAATCGAGGACCCTCCTACACTTAGACTGGCCGGCCCGGACCGTAAAGACCGGACTGGACTGGACCGGACCGCTTATATGAGTGTTCCAGTCCTTAAATTTAAGACCGGACCGTGGTTCGGTCCTCCTTTTTTTAAAAAGCCCGGACTGAATTTCAGTCTAGTGTAACGCTGACTTCTAAACGATAGAAGACACAGAGGTTCTCTTGCGTAAAGGTTTACTTATCAGAGGAGGCAGGGGATCAGACACAAAGGCTTCAAGTAACACGTTACTAGTATATAACAAATACTGTATTGAGTTGAGCACGAAGCTCCTATCTAAGGAAATACTATCTACTTATATAGTGGTGTCGTGCCTAGTGGACTCTTGGGAACTCACTCGAGTCCTCAGAGTCCTGGACTCTTAGGACTCTTCTCATCATCCTGCGAGTCCATCACGTGCCTAGTGGACTCCTGGGAACTCACTTGAGTCCTCGGAGTCCTGGACTCTTAGGACTCTTCTCATCATCCTGCGAGTCCGTCACGTGATACTTTCGGAACTACTATTCCCCGCTGCCCCTCCAGGTACCAGGGCCGGTCTCATGCGACCTCCCTCCTTCCTGTCCTGTAGTTGGCCAGCCTTCTTGTTCCGTCGTAACACTCGCTCCCTTCCCCTGGGCATTCGTCTCAAATCCTATAAGTACGTCCATGTCCCCGGGACTCTGCTGCTCCTCAGCGAGTCCTTCAACATGCAACATGCCTACTGACACTGCCCGCAAACTCCAGGAACGCAACGATCTTGTCCGTCGAATAAAGAACCACGGATACGAACTACCCGAAATGGATTCTTGCTCGAACTGCGTGAGGCGAAACGTTACTTGCGTGTCGTCTCCAAATGATTCACGGCGGTGCGCCGAGTGCGTTCGTCGCAACTTGAAAGAAAAGTGTGACTGTATGGGTCCTGAGCATCCCGACTGGGTGAAGCTCGAACGGGAGGAGGATCGCCTGGATCGCGAAGAGGAAGAAACCCTTTCGAAGTTACTTCGTCTGCGGAAGCAGAAACGCCTCATCCGAACCCGTGGTAAAGATATGCTCCGGCGAGGTTTGAAAACCCTCGACGAGCTTGATGCGGCAGAGGAGGCCGAACGTGTGGCTGCTGAGAAGCGTGACGCTGTTGAGGCTGAGGAACAGGCAGTTAGCGCTGCCTCCTCGTCTGTGACCGGGACCCCCGCTTCCTCCGATCCACTGGCCTACTCCCCTGCATCTTGGGATCAATGGCTGGTGGATGGCGGCGTCGATATTCCTCCAGCAGTTCTTTGCTGATGTTCCTTGTTGGTTCCCACGAATTATCCGTAGGTTCGTAATTTTCCCATTTTATCAAAAACTCTTCTCGACGTCCTACTAACCTTCTGTCTAGGATCGCTTCGACCTCATATTCGATTATCTCATTCTCGGGTTGGAGTTCGGTGTCAGTCGCAATTGGGGTATTTCCTCTTGCTGGTTCCAGTAGTGAGACATGAAATACCGGGTGTAGTCTAGACTTCTTGGGTAGCTGCAGTCTGTAATTAACTGAGCTGACTTTGTTCAATATTTTGAATGGTCCCAATTTCTTGAAGTCCAACTTTGTGCTTGGTCGTTTCGTTTTGATATGTTTCCGGAGTAGGTATACTTTATCCCCCTCCTTGAAGGCAGGTTCCATACTGCGCTTCTTGTTTGCGTATGCGGCGGATCGTTCATTTAAGAATTGGATGTCCGTCGCAAGTTGTTCGTGGAACGATTTCAGTTGTTCCACCACGATCAGGGCTTGTTCAGCTCGTGATTCATCCGGTCTTGGTTGCCTATATGCTTCTGGCTGGTAGCCATAATTGGCAAAGAACGGTGAGACTTTCGTTGCTTCTGTCATCGCGCTGTTATATGCAAACTGTGCGATGGGTAAGATCTGAACCCAGTTATCCTGTTGATGATTGACATAGCTTCGCAGGTACTGTTCAAGGGTCTGATTTAATCTTTCTGTTTGGCCATCTGTCTGGGGATGAAAAGCTGTTGATAGCTTATGATTTGTTCCCAGTAGCGCCATCAATGATTTCCAGAATTTCGAAGTAAAGAGCTTGTCTCTATCTGAGATGATTTCTTCTGGCATCCCATGATCGGCTAATATGCCTCGAATGAAGGTATATGCGAGCGCCTCGGCGTCGCTAGCTTCTAGATATGGTATAAACTTCCCATATTTCGTGAGTCTTTCCGTGATGACGAGGATAGAGTCGTATTCTATTCCTGTTAACGGGTCCTTGGAGGGTGGAAGCTTGACGATGAAGTCCAAAGCTATTGATTTCCACGCTCCTTTTGGTACTGGTGTCGACTTGAGTTGTCCGTATGGCAGGTGCCTATTGGATTTTGACTTGCTACAAATGTCGCACTCTCTTACCACTGTCTCTACCTGCTTCCTCATACCTGGGAAGTAGTAGTGTCGGGTGATTCGTTCGAAGGTTCGTGTTACTCCCTGATGACCGTGTGCTGGTAACGAGTGTTGTTCTTGCACCAGCGGGCGTCTCATTTGACTTGGGACATACACTAAGCCTTTGTATCGAATCAATCCTTGTTCGTCGATGGCGAAGTCGCCTTCGACTTTGGACAAGACTCGCTTGGCGCATTCGTCTGTTGCGTAAGCTTTCTTGAGTCTTTCCTCGAGTTCTGTATCTTCGATGACTGAGATCGTCGCTAGTAACTCGTTGTACTGTATTCCTGCATCTGTTTTCTTCAGAATTGCTCTAGGTCTTTCTTCCTTTGGGCCGGCGTAGTCGGTCCGTCTGCTGAGAGCGTCTGCTCTTGCATTCTCGGAGCCCTTGCGATAGGTTATCGTGAAGTTGTAGGCTGCGAGGGTTTCTGCCCAGCGGACTTGTCTGCGGTTTAAAACCTTGGTCGTGGTGAAATATATGAGGTTCTTGTGATCCGTCCATACCTGCACAGGGTAGGTGGATCCCTCAAGATATACTCGCCACTGCTCAAAGGCAACGACAATAGCCAGTAGCTCCTTGTCGTGGATGTCGTAATTGAGTTCCGCGGGTGACAGTTTCCTAGAGTAGTACGCGATTGGTTTGAACTTACCGTTCTCGTCTGGTTGATTCAGACATGCTCCAATTGCGAAGTCAGAAGAGTCCGTTTCGAGGATGATCTTCTTGCAGGGTCAAATGTAGCAAGGATAGGTGCTTCCGTGAACTTCGTCTTAAGTTCCTGGAAAGCAGCCTCTGCCTTGTCCGTCCATTTGAATTCGAGATCCTTTCTGGTAAGCTCCGTGAGTGGTTGAGCTACCTTGGAATATCCCGAGATGAATCTCCGGTAGAAGTTGGCGAAGCCTAGGAAGGCTTGCACTTCCTTGACCGTGGTCGGTGTTGGCCATTCCAACACTGCCGTTACTTTTGCTTGGTCCATCTTGATGCCGTGCGTTCTGATAATGTAACCCAAGAATTCGACTTGGTTTTTATGGAACTCGCACTTCTCTGGTTTGAGGAGTAAGCTGTACTCCTTTAGTTTCTTCAGGACGAGTTTGACATGCTTGACATGCTCCTCCTTGGTTGCTGAATACACCAGGACATCGTCTAGGTAGACAATGGTAAAGATGT